CTCTGCTCTCGGTGCCTGGAGATTGGCATATGGTGATGCCGTTAATCTCAGTGCTTAATGACCTAAAGATGTGGATATTAATCTCAGTGATATAAGCAAAGTATTATCAAGATATTATTAGGAAGGGGAGATAAACCTGGTTCTTAATAGCAGGGCATTATGGACAAAATCAAACATTTTTTTAGATAAAAATCTAATACATAATCTTAATTTTCGAAAAGTGGAATGCTGCTTATTTTTGCTGTTTCAGCAGGTACAAATTATAAAAAAATTAATTTGATTAAAAAAATGCATCTTTGGACTGGGGTTTTTTTCAAATATTTTTTGTCATCACAATTTCAATAGTTCTATTGTTTAGAGTTGATTAATTGGAAAAGTATTCCAGTTATTTCACGTCGTGTCAGCTTGATGTGGGAGGAAAGCCCGAAGTGATGCAGGTCTTAGATATTTACCACTTAGAAACCTAGAAACATAATTGGGGTGAACCATGATTCGAACCCATAATCATAGGTTCCTGGTGTGCTCAAGGGACACAACTCTGCACAGTGAATTGAAGCACCATAGACAACTGCCCTCCCCCATCCTTCCCGTTCAGAACAAAACAAATATACAAACGGGAAAAAAGTAAGCAATTGTACATTTTTATCCAACATATTTGAAGTAGATGTCGCGAGAATGCAACATATTTTTATCATTATTTGTTCTTTGAATATATCTAGATTTGTTCAACAGTATGTTTTTCAACAATCAGTGAAATGGTGGTGGATGCTTGTCTACCCCTCCAGGACCATTAATACCTTGATAAAACACTGGGAGTGAAGTGGACAAACAACACCTACAATCTCTCCATAGCCCAAGGCTAGTAGAAAATGACATGGGCCAGTCAAATGCTGTCAGGCATTAGCACTGTTGTCTGGATATAAGTTCTTCACTGACCATTGGGTTTTTCATCCCCACCATGGAAGGGGGATATAGGAATGGGTGCTGTCCATCCTTCCGTCACATTTCGTTTCTGGAGCAGAACTTTGCACATAGATAGGTCTGGTGGTGAACTGGTGCCTTTTGATAGTTTGGGATTTAAGAGTTTCCATAGCAACGACTTTGACTTAGACTGAAAATGGAGGTAGTGCTCCTTTCCGGAGCAGATCTTGAAAATCGTACAATATTTCTTCACCACACTTGGCACATAGATAGGTCTAGTGGTAAACTGGTGCCTTTTGATAGTTTGGAATTTAAGAGTTTCCATAGCAACGACTTTGACTTAGACTGAAAATGGAGGTAGTGCTCCTTTCTGGAGCAGATCTTGAAAATCGTACAATATTTCTTCACCACACTTGGCACATAGATAGGTCTAGTGGTAAACTGGTGCCTTTTGATAGTTTGGGATTTTTGAAAAATTTATTTTGCAAGTTACTATAGCAACGACTTTGACTTAGTGCACAGGGGCTAAAGCCTTGCACACGACTGCTTCAGCTGTGTCTGCATGTAGCCCTTAGGTCTCGTGAACTGTTTAGATCCAGGGTAGAATAGGTCTTCAGCATCCCATGCTTGCCATAAATGGCGTCTATGCTTTTCATAAGAGGCGACTACGGAAAAGGGGGGTCTGGCTCGCTGACATGGTTGATATTTGTCGCTGATCCAAATTGCATGGATCGATGCTCGTGATGTCAATCACTGGATTGTTTGGTCCAGACTTGATTATTTCTCAGACCACAGTCATTTTGCTGGAATATTTCTGATTGCGGCATAAAACAACAAACAAACAAACACTTAGGTCTTGTGCATATTGTGCCATGTTCAAGTGTATTTTATTGGTGGGATGTCGAGGCGTGTAACTGTTTGTATTTTCTACTAAGTATTCATACATGTGTTTTGCATGGCGGGAGTATTCAAGTTGTAAGATACATAAAATACACAATTTTAAAAAATCCCTAATTTTTATGAAATGCAGATTGTCCCACTACCGAAGCGCACTTAAGTCTGTAACAGTGTTGGAGCAGCTGCATCTGCTGCTTCATCCTTAGGGTTCCTTCACTTAAATTTAGACCTGCATCACTTCGGGCTTTCCTCCCACATTAAGCTGACACCCGCGATATAACTGGAATACTGTTAAAAGCGGTGTTAAACCCAACTAACTCACTCACTTACATTTAACTGAAAATATTAATTGGAAAAGGACCATATTTCCCCTAATTCTTTAACAATTTACTTCAATTTTATTTTGCATTTATGGAGTTTTGCTATGCATATTTAGACAATACACAAACTAGTATGTACTTTTTACTCCATAACACAGAGATGCGCTGAAGTCATTTCCTATTGATAGATACGTCAACAATAATAACTTCACAGACAAAAAAAAAATGAAAAAAAAATGTGGACATCAATAAGAAATCAGGCACATCTTTCAGCGCAATAATGTTACACAAGCCCCGCCCATTCTATGATCAACCAGTAGTTTGTTAGTGGGTGTGGCCTAATTGTTTTTCGGTTTATGGCAACATGAACACAAAAAAAGCTGTCTTGGTTGGCCAATCAAATGCAGTGGAATCAGATGCAACTTATTTATTTTAGATTATTCATTATATGGCTTCCAAAAGGGGTAGTTCATATAATTGTTTTACTTTATACTCTATTCTTCCAATTTGACTTTGACCTTCGAGAGGCTGTAGTTTATTGATGGTACATGGAAAAACGGGAAAACAGGAACGATAAAACTATGAACATGTTTCTCCCTGACTACACTGTGTGTAATAGTGGATGTCCCTGACGGGCCGAGGCTCGATGGTTTCAGCGAGGAACAGCGCCACCTACATGATGAACAAACCAGACCAGGCCTCCTTTTTTTAAAGTAAGCTATCGGTAATGAACCCGTGCCTGTTAAACATACGTTTTCACTGTCACTACAGTTGCATCCTTTTCTGAAAATAACAACCCTGTATTTGCTCATCCATCTTAGATGATGGGAGTCGACTCATTTAGCCCCCGTGGGGATTCCAGGCCAGGCTTGGAGGAACGGGTGGCCAAGTCGTCAAAGTCGTCACAGTACTCTAAGCTGGGCCCATTCCACCAAGCCATCATAGCGCTAAGGTGATCGTAAGTCACATACTTACACAGATTTATGACAATCGGCAGAGCGATACAAGCACTTTGTGGAAGAGCCCATAACTGTATCTGTTTGAGAAACCCGAAAACTATTATCATGGGTTCGAATCCCAGCTTTGACCTCATCATGTTTCTTGGTTTGTCTGCACCATACCAAAGTGGTAAATGTTTAAGATCTGCGTAGGCTGTTGATAGAGCTGTCAGATACTTGTTTGGGCTCAACAGGAGACTGCCTTGGTATTCCTGGAATGGTTGTGACTTTGCAGTAAAACATTAATTCTTTTATTCAGCTTTTTTGTTTTCACTGTGTTCTATTACCAGCTTAGTGTAGTAGTACTTTCCTACAAGGTTAGTTTGTCACGCCGCTGACACAAGTTCGAATCCCATATGTGAACTCATTTCTGGTGTTGCTACCATGATACTAATCCTGCACCATGACCGTGGAATATATTTATTTTATGAAGAAAAATATCTAGAAATGCATACAAAAGCAAGTCTAGCCAGCTCAAGCTAGCTCTATTCCACTATTCCTCTATTCCGTTCTGAAATCAGCATAGGGAATTTTTTTTTATTTTTAGAGTCAAGAATGATATTGTGTAATATAAGATTTCAGAGACTAAATGTTAGTCTACCATGATACTACTGGAGCCTTACTAAAAGTGGCCTCAAATCCTCACTCACTCACACTCACTCACTCACTCACTCACTCACTCACTCACTCACTCACTCACTCACTGCTGAAACACTGCCAAACTTTATAATTGAAAGAAAAAAATAATGACATTTTTGTACTATGAATTTTGGTGGCTAGTTTGTAGAGATAGAATGGTTAGCGAGCATTAGTCACATGGCCTTAAATGAAACAAATATTATAACAAAATGACAATTTGGGGGTAAATGACATAAACTGTCATCATTATCAGAAGCTTTCACTTTCACTTCAACAATATATCTTTTCATAACACATGAATATAAGGTACTGGGAGAAATGTGTTGGTGGGGTAGCCCAGTGGTCGAAGTGTTCGCTCGTTAACGGAAGACCTGCGTTCGATTCCACACATGGATACAATGTGTTCAGCCCGTTTCTGGTGTCCCCCACCGTGATAATGCTGGAATATTCCTAAAAGCAGCGTAAAACCTCACCCACCCACCCACCCACTCACTCACTCACTCACTCACTCACTCACTCACTCACTCACTCACTCACTCAAATACTTTTTTGTCCTTTACATTGAATATTGAATATTAATGCAGTAGCATAAACCTGTTACAAAATCTTACGAGTGAAATTATACTGATTAAAGAATCATGGACACAAATTAATCTTTCTGGATCTTGGGATTTATTTATTTTAAGATTGAGATCAAGGTTGATATTTAGACACCTGTGAAAATAATTACTTCGTAGTTCCATTGTTTTTTTTTACAAGGACATCTATGTGGAGGGCCTTGATGAAGCTCTTGCTCATTGCCTCAAGGAACTGAGTTTGATTCCTCAACTTAGTCCTGTTTTTTAATTCTGACCAGGTGCCCGCTTCTGCTGAATTTATAAATCCTGATAGACTCTCTCCACAGTTTGAGTGTCGATACGTGCACTCCATGTGTAATACAGTTATGTATATTTCCCACATATAATCTGTTTTCAAGGGACACTCCCAATTCAGTTAGTGTTTGAATCCTGTGCAGGTATTGTTCTGATGTAGCCAGTGACTGTTCCTTACAGTGGGATGTAAAGCAGCGCTTTAACCTCGCTCCGCAGTCAGCTTGAACTGGTGGGGCAAAGAATGCCTATCTTTTGTATACAAACTATGTACAAACATCATGTAGGATGTCCTCCGCTCTATAAATACAAACATCTCCGTATACCTAAACTGTCATTGATGTTTTAGCACGGGAACTCAATACACCAGTGTGTGCCTATAGCCTGTGTCGCCTCTACGTTCCCTAAGCCTATTACTTTACAATTGGGAGAGTATTCGAGATAGCTATCGACTTCTCACACTCTGATATGTTTTATGTGTTCTAACTCCTCTACTTCATACTGAACATAATACACACCAATAAGAGCTGAGAAGCTATCAACGAAAAACCAGCACGTGCTTGGCTGACCAAGGCCCAAATCTGCAGTGTTCAGTCAGCGATCAGTGAAGCGGAACCTAGGAGAGACAGAGCGAGTGAACGGCAGCCTTGATTGGGATGCAGACAGTGTTGTGGCACAGAGCTCTTGAGTTGTTCAGTGAGGAAGGAGCTTAGCTGTGAGCAGACGTGAGTTTGTGTTTGCGTTTGGAAGTACAGACTGCTATAGGCAGTGTGATTTGGACTTGCGATTTCACTGAGAAGTGATCCAAGGCCTTGACTACACCTTGTGGATATCTTTGGATAACTGTGCAGGTCGTGCTTGACTGGTTTAGAGCAGGCTGCGGCACCTGAAGTGTGTGTTGAGCAGACTTACACTAGGAGGAGAAACACATGGCCGGCTTTGTTTTGATTCCTCGAGGGTAAGTGCATGCCTGTTTCATAGTCCAGCTACATCATGGTCAGAAGCTATTACCAAGGTTACCCATCCTGAATCAACCAATGTCATGGGTTTTATGAGACAGTGGTTGTAAACATGGCTTAGATGTTGCTATAAAGTAGAAATGAGTTTGCCAATGAGTCAAAGGAGAGGATGCTTTCGGGAGAGGCCTGGGGTGTTTGTGATGTATTTATTTGAGTTTTGTGTTTATTTCACTATCGGAGCATCGTGAATCGCAGAGAAAGATCTCTCTGTTAGCCGATAGACTCACAACATCCCGTGAGTTGGCGACATAAAACTGACACCAGTCCGGCTAAAAATACACTAGCGACTTTTGACAAGGATTGTGAACCAGTTTTCTTTGGTCAAAATTGGCAACAATCAAAACTGCACAGATTGTCTGAGGCACGCGAACAGAGATGGATACGTTATTGACAGCCTGCTCCGTGTCCACTATCGCATGTTAGCACCGACAGGTTTCATTTCCACTGGGAGTTGGTATTGACATGCGGTGATTTGGTGTCTCGATAGCCGGCTATCAACAGTCACTGGTGTCGTTCATTCGTGAGGGTTCACCTCAACAGTGTTTTATGTGCATGTTTCCATAGACTCTTCGCTTCACCTATTGTTGGGGCTGTGCGAGGTTTAGCGCAACTCTCATGACCTTCACTATTTGCTTCTTTGTCAAGGAAACTCTAACTCTCGTCAACCCTAACAAAGACAAATGTGAAACTTGATCAGAATTACTGCAAATAGGTGGCTTGCACGGCAAAGGAATATTGTTATTTGCCTGTGAAACGGCAAGTTATGGTTGAAAATTCACACCCTTGGGTGAAAAAATATTTACAATTTTAAACGCATGTGTGCAAGTGATTTCTGCCTCGGCCCTATGGGTGTATGTTTTGAGGGCACTTTGAGATATTTGAAGTCATACTTTTCCTGTTATGAGGATTGAGTGTCAAGCAATTAGAGTGTCTTTGTGGTTTTACAGGCTTTGTATGAGTGCTGGAATCAGGACTGTCATAAACAGGGGATCTGTCGTTCTTTATGTTTGTGATATGTTCAAAATTTTTGATGTGGTACACACAGGGAGTACAGTTCACACATAAACAGAGTTATTGGTGATTCCGAGGTATCTAGTTTAACTTTCTACAGTTTTGTCTGTGTGTGATGGTAACATTTTGGTTCTTTTCATCGCTGTTATAGGGTTGTTAGGCGGAACTGTTTAAAGTTTTGGATGAATTTTTTAAAATATAAACAAGTGTGTTAAGAAACTAAGTGAAGTTCTACGAGTTACAATTGATGAAGGATTTGTATTTCTTCCATTCATTGCTTATGAAGATCAGTTAGTCAAATATTACTTATCCCACACCTTTTTCACTTTATTGTTATATTTACTGTTAAAAAATTTCAAAATTACTATTCAAAGGTGATAAATCATTATATTTGATAGGTAAATGTTAGACAACCTTAAATTAGAACACCATCTTCCCTTTAAATAATTGCAACAAATATGTTATATCTTTCCTCAAAAACAGTTGCTGAAGCCATCAAGATTTTTCCATGTTTTACGTAGTGTTAAGACATCATAGTTTTGTCTTTGAAAAAAAAGTGTCAAATATCTACAGTAAATATTTATTTTATTCAATCATTTATTACCCATTTTTATACTTTTTTAAAAATAAATCATTTTTTATATTTTTTTACTGCCGTGATATTGCTGGAATATTGCTAAAACCAGTGTAAAACCATACTCACTCAATCACTTTTTAATATTATTGTTTTTGTTACTCATTTACTTGAAATTGTTTCTAACTATGTAGCCTTGTGTGCAACTGATTCTGTATATTCTATTGTCTAATGTACACACCTCCTGATGAGTTCAAGATGTCGGATGTAGTTTCCCTCGCTGTCGAGACATGGCCGTGGTTGAACCACAGTGCAGTGGTCATTTTATCCAGAGAGATATGCCTAGATTTGTATGGAGGCTAAGTATAGCAGAGATTGGACTGATCTAAATTAGAATGAATGAAAGCTTGATAAACGTACGTTTTCTACATTATTCATCCTGGTCCTTTGATGTGAACAACGTAGGTTTGATGAGATTTGTTGTACAAATCCGGGCAAACAGAGTCACACTTGAGGTCGGGGCACCATGCTCCCACGCTGTTCTGACAGTCAAACCTTTTGTCAAACATTTAATCAAACATTTAATCAAACATTACCCAAGGGAGTTCAGTTTATAAGATTTTGAAGCTTTCTGAAGATAGTTATTGAGATGACATTCCAAAAATATTTTGACTTAAGTCAGACACAAAGCAGGAAAAAGTTTAAAATATTTTGGTTGTCTTTTAACATGGCAGATATCTTTAAAGGAAGTTCCTGATAATATTTGTCTTAATTGTCATAAAGGGAATTTATTTTGAATGTTTATATAGCTTTATGGAGATGGTTGCTGATTCTTTAGGATGTACAAGATATTCAATTAGTCAAACAAAAATCAACCAAGTTGAGGTCTAAATTTCTGTACATAGCAGTTTATACAAAGGCCTTACAGGTAGAATGAAAAGTATTGGATAACATTTGAAGATGTGTTGTACAGTTTTCTACTACATATATCTGATAAGATGAGCTTTCTGTTTCTACTACCCCTGTAGGGGGAGCGTGTAGAAGATGTATCTTTTGTCGACAGGTTAACCAGATCAACGGAGAAGGGACTGTTGCACAGATTAGCGTTCTTTGTGTATTAACGTGGCTGTGTTTGGAATATTTTGGAGATTTCCCTACAACACGACAGTGGCGAAACAAAGCCATGACTTCGATGAGGTTTTGATCGTGTTGTGATAGGTGTCTTAAGCTTTCTGATTTTTTGTCTGCGACATTTACCTGTCGTAGTTCATGTACAGTGTACATAGAATAGAAGTTGATGGTACGGAAGGTCCTCAACGGGTAGGGTAGGGTAGGGTAGGGTAGGGTAGGGTAGGGTAGGGTAGGGCAGGGCAGGGCAGGGCAGGGCAGGGCAGGGCAGGGCAGGGCAGGGCAGGGCAGGGCAGGGCAGGGCAGGGCAGGGCAGGGCAGGGCAGGGCAGGGCAGGGTAGGGCAGGGCAGGGCAGGGCAGGGTAGGGTAGGGCAGGGCAGGGCAGGGTAGGGTAGGGCAGGGTAGGGTAGGGTAGGGTAGGGTAGGGTAGGGCAGGGTAGGGTAGGGCAGGGTTGCAGACTGGAAATACATGTTTCCCAGACCACTGCACTGGCTACTTGAAAATCTTATTGATCAGTTCTTGTCAAAAGTTGCCAGTCTCAATTTTTGGGGAATCAAGTGTGATGGTCCATCTCTATTTATTGTTGATTATTGTTTGTTTATTTTTTGTACACAATAGACATCATAAGGATATGTATTACTAATTGGCTAAAAAAAAATATGACTGTCCACAGGACGTGTAAACTTTGTAGTTCCTCCTCGGTGGAATTAAATTTAGGCTTCTTAGTAATGCTTGTAGGTTAGGGATTAATTATTTATACAGGTAGGGATATGTGATTACTTTTTAGATTAGATTTAAAATTTACAACCAAAAGTTTTAATTTGTAAAATTCTTTTTATGTTTTTGTTGTGGACTTAATCATTTCGTACCAGTACCAAAAAAATGCTGATCTACTTAATAAAACCGGCACCCTACTATTCTTGAGAGAGGGGGTTGAACTCCTCTCCACCCCGAGTGCGCCACCCCACCCCACCCCACCCCACCCATCTCTCACACACTACCCTACATTGTAAACTCCTTTCACTCGTAATGAGTGGTCACTGACATACACATGACACCTTATTGTCTCCCCCTCCCCCCTCCCCCTCCCCTCCCTGCCCCACCATCACAGAACTCCCCCTCCCCAACTCTTGTGGATGATTACCTGTACTAGCCCCAGGGGTCAGAGATGATGCCCTCCCGCCGATCCTCGGGACAGTCAGGGGATAAGATCAGTGTAAAAAAACAACAAAGAGTGGACAGTGTTTTCTGTGGTTTTCTGATAACATGGTGCTGTAGCCCCGGGGTGGGGGTGTAATTGTATGGCGGGGTGGATGTACGAGGGGATGAGGGACACTGGGGCACTGTCTCCGTGAGATCTTTATGTGAGCGTGACCTGTTGTTCTGGCCGACACACCTGTTGGCTGCATGGGATCGCGACTCCATGAGACCGGTGATAAAAAGGGTATTAGTTAGGTTAGCTGGTTTGTGGGGCGAGTGGAGGAATTTCAGGTGACAGAGTTTATTTATTTGTCTGACTTTATTGCTTGAAATATCTCTTAATCAATTTTTTAAATTTTTTTTAAGTTTGAAAATTGCTTTTGTGAACTATGAATATCCTCTTCCATTAGCCAACACTGCACTCCCCCACCCCCTCGATTGTACAGAATCCACCCCACCTTGTGTCTCTCCAACCATCTTATGTTAACACCCTTCTCTCTAACGGTATCACATCCCAAGATCACCTCTAGCCCACCCCATTCTACCCCACCCCACCTCACCTCACCCCACCTCAACTGTGTCTGCCAAGCTTCCTATTTTCCTGTCTGGAGAATCTATTTTCTTTATAATATGATCCAGAAAGTTTTCTCCCACTTCATGTCATACCCTCTCTGTTTATCAGACTGTCAAAATTACAACAAAATCTTTGCAACTGTCTTAAATCCTTGCCCTGAAAAAACAAAATATGTTACAAGAATTCGCTCTGACATGTTTTTCAAAACATATCTTTAAGACAAAGCTATGTAATAATAAAAATAAAAATAATAATAATAATAATTTTAATAATTTTAATTTACACCCTGCTCTATGAGAGTGTTTTTTATGATAATAATTATTGATTTTTAATTCCACCACAACTCCACTATTCATCCCACACCCAATATGTTCCTAATCCGTGTCCCCGACCTGCACTTACCGACATACATGTACACCAGCTCCACCCCTCCAGATGGGGCCGGTGATC